AGAGAGAGAGAGAGAGAGAGAGAGAGAGAGAGAGAGAGAGAGAGAGAGAGAGAGAGAGGTCAGTTCAAATCCAACCACCACTGGCGCACAAAACCACTCAACCTCCCTGCTTTTCAAGACAAAAAATCCTTCTTCATTGCGGGCAAAGCCGCAACAGGTAAGCTAGTCCTCCACAGCAGTTTCACTGTTTCTTATGGCAACTGCACAGTAGCGCTCTTCTCCAATCATTCAGGGACCACGTGGATGTTGGAGGGACCACATAGATGTTGCAATCGACCGCGTAGATGTTGCAATGGATGTTCCCTCTATGTGGTCCCTGTATGGTTGCCAGAGTGGTGAAAGTCCATTTTTAACACGGGGATGAATTTATCACAAGGGGCTGAGGAGAGGACAGTAGCGCTCCCTCTATCAGGCGAGGACCACACAGATTTTCTTTCTGTGCATGGTTCCTGCGTTGTTGTTAGGGTTCTGTTCCGAGTGTGAAAGAATGAAACGGAGTTATGGTATGGAGCTGGGGGAAGGCTGTCAGCACCACGAACTTCTTTTACCTGCTAAGTGCTTACTGTACAGTCGACAGTGGGGTACAGTAAACAGGGAGCAATTTGTATGGGGCACACTCACAAGGAGTTTACTGCCTTTCCTCGGCCACTTGCGATAGCCTCGGGCAGATGAAGTTCTTTTTCTTTCTGCTGGACCTGACAGGCCTTTCGGTCGGCCAAGACTTCCTCGTCCACCGAAATCTTGCTGCACCATTTTTCACTTATATTTCATATGGAGAACATTAACATTCATCGTGTTCTTTTGATGTGAATGGGTATTGGGAGCTCTTCATAAAGTGAGAGCACATGTATGCCTCAGCTGACATTGAGGTTGGTGTTCAGTTTGCATGGGCAAGGGCGACTGCTGTCTGCATGCGTGTCATCCGGGACGAGAACTTGCTGACAATGAGTAAAACGTGTAATGCAATGTCATAGCAGTCACCTGGCACCTGACAGGCACAACAACAAGGACAATTTCTCCCTGTCAAGCAGGGTTACACCCCTGCCGACCGCCGACCCCGACCGCCGACTGTATTGCAGCCGACCAGTAGGGGTGACTGGTCGGCAGTCTGCCGACCAGTGAGAAAACAACCGTCCACTGATTTTTTTTCAAATCTGAGTTGGGGGCTGTACTGCACTTGCCGAGTAGAGCCCAAATCTGCTGAGAAACTTT